GTAGCTCGTCTGGTTTTGGGAGTTGCTAGCCCTGAAGGGTGGACTTTCAACTTATTTTGGACTGGATTCTGTGTATGATATGTCTCATAGCAGGTTTGAGAACAGGTCATACAAAGCTAATTAACCAATGGGAGTTTGAGTGGAGCCTTAATCCGTTCAGTTCATGTGCAATTTATCACCGAGTGAATGGAAACGGAGTGAAATCTTTCTTTTGCTTTCAATCTATGATTTGGGCTATTTTTAGTTTGTGTGCTGATGATTGTCAGAGCTAAAATGCATCATCATAGGATTTCGTGATGCGATGGATAACATTTCATTTGAATCACTTGTTTTGTCACGGAAACTATAACGCTGATGTCACTGTAGTATCATTGAATCGCCTTTCTTCATAAAACAACATAGCGAAATCTTAAAATGTTTATTTATTCCGTTCACCATTCTGTTAGTTTACGCCTGTATATAAACAAAAATTATTCAAGGTTTGCTCTAAATTTTTATAATTTATTGATATGTATTCACTGTTCTTTTAAAGTGATGAAGGAATCGGGGTTGCATTTTCCTGCTACTCTTTCAACCACCAGTCCTTCATCACCTGAGACAAATGGGATGAATAAATCTTATGTATATGATCTACTGGTTGTTTCAAAACCTACTGATAGACCAACTTATATAGCTATTTTTATGAAAGCTTAGTCAAGCTATTATGGATAAGCTCAAGATGATACTGGCCCCCTGGTTAGTCATTTCGATTATTATATCATATAATCGATAGTAGCTCCACTTTTTTATTTGCACCGCTTTTATGTTTTATTTTTATTTTCTGGATAAATTTTACAAATTCTCTCACTTAGATATATCATGATCGCCAAAGCCGCTATGTGAACTTACATCAACTTGTGTCTAGCGATCATCGAACCTAGGGATTACAGCAAAATACAATTGCTCGCATAGTCGTACACAAGTTATTTTTTCTACCTTTCCACAGGTGCCAGACGAAACCAGTCTGGTCGACTTCTCCACTTTCAATGAGGCCATAACACGCCTAGCCAGTGACATCAGGTTCTTTCAGCAAGTCAACCATTGCATCCGAACCGAACAGGGTTTCAAGTTTTCTGTGTCTGGCCCCTCAACATAAAGAGCATGATGTAGCTTGGTCATCACTACTATCTTGCGTACGGATACATCTGAATGACCTATTACCTTTCATCTTTCTCTTTACCATATTTTCCCCAACTCTTTCCATTATGTACATCTCCCACCCCTCAGAGCTGTGATCTAGAGACCTTATATTCATCAACTCATTTTTGCATACTTTTCTTGACGCCTATCATAAAGGGCAATAATTTTTTCGCTTTTAAAATATTAAAGAGTTCCGGGGTCAACGCTGTGAATGCTACTTGGGTCAAAACCTTGTGTTATTTATTTTCTTGCAAAAAAATTACAAACGATATCGCTCTCATTCCGGATTTCTCGTATCTGCGCTTGTTACTTTGTCATTGATAGCTGCGTACTCATAAGGATGCCCTGTCTTCAGTTATATAGTTAGAAATGTAATTGGGTGTCATTGATGACTAACCACTATAAATTATTTCTCTTATCGGTAGTCTAAATAAGAGTTTACGGGAACTTTCAGGTGGATGTTAAATTTTCCGATCCTAGCCCATATTGAATTATGTGGCGGCAATGTTCATTGCTCAGGCATACACGGTTTGGCGACACATGCCAGATTTGACCTCTTATAAGTAAGTATTGTCAAGCTACCACAATTGCATCCCTTCTTTTACTCGGCCAAACGCGTGTGTGTCTGCCACATATGAATAAACTGCAGGTTATGTGTGGATGGGCAGGCTTGGGAGTTTTCTTGCTCTCGCTTGTATTGATAAATATATAAATGCATGCCTACAGTAAGTTTCGACTTGCGGGTGTTTATTCTCAAAAAGGGTGGTGGTAGCGTCGTGATAGGAAAGAATATTTTTTCGTCGGTACCGCGCAATGCTTCAAGTTCATAGCTCAAATTCAACGGTTCCATGTGTGCTTATCCTTCTTCACTAAGTGAAAGCTGGACAAAGCAAGTATAAGGTATAAAGAGCAAGATCGTGTGGACTTTTGTGTGATCGCAGTCTTGTGTGTCAACCCACAAACGTTT